TTAACATGTTTATAAAAAATTAATTTAATGCATTTACTTTGGTAAATGAAAAGCTAATAGAAAATGGTTACAATTAACATTGAACTATAATGAGGAATCAAAAAACATGAAAATTATAAATTACGTCTTATGTTCTTAAATTTTGGCACATAAAAATTGTATTCTTCTATTTACAACTTACCAACAAGTGTTCTCTTTTTGAGTCGATCATTATTGTAGAGACAAATCTTAACACTTGTATATTGCAAATTAATCTCATCACATGGATATGCCAACAAAGATCTCAAAGGGTCAAAATGTCTAGACAATGATGTCAACACAAATTTTGGACATTGTAAGGATACCAATTTGCGATCGTCATCCACGATGTAAGTTTTCAAGTATAAATATCCTGAAAGAGAAAAGATCTTGAGAATATCATTGGAAACCGTAAATTTGCTTCAATTTTCAAATTCACCACCATTTTTTGGAAATAAATGGAACAATATTGGATCAACATTATGGTCCACAAAGAGAAATGTTTGAGACAAAATGATAGATCATGTTTAGAAATGACTTGAGGAAATAAATTGAGCCATTCCAAAAATATTACCATTAGCTGTATTCATAGCTCCATATCTATTACCAATTAGCTGTACTACAAACAGTACCTACTAAAGTCTAATATCGTTTTGAATAATTTCTTATGGATATTACTCTTATTTTGTTGTTCATCTCAGGATGAGAAATTTCTATATCTTTTATCTTCAGAGCTATGTTAGATATACTAGTTTTTCCTAATTTACTTTATATTTTTAATGCAACTGACAACGAGTTGCTAATAAGATTTTATGGATCAGATAACACTACGAATCATTAATTGTTGATGAAATTTTGTTGTTAACTTACTTGAATCATGCAAAAGGTTCAAAAGCTACTAAAAGTATACCATATAGCAACCAAATTCATAAATATGGCTCCTAACCAGGAATTAAAATTGGCATACTAAATATATGACAACCACGTAATAAGGATACAGATGGATTTTGAAATGATCAATGATCATCTCTGCAAAGCTTTGAAGATTTCAATTACCATCTATATAAATTTTAAATTGTCTAAACTATTTCTTTATTATTTATTTTACTAAGTCATCTTACCACCACACAGATCCAAATCATCTCTAACTTTCCTGGAGCATTTAATCCTGTCCACTCTAACAGACAAATAACTCATGGAACCATTCAAAGTATCTTCATTTTCTTCATTTTTGAATGGATTAGTACTATCATCTTCATCTTCCAAGTCGGAATCTTCAAGATCAGTTATTATTCTGTCAAAAGGATTTGCTGGTCTTTGGACTTGTTGTGGTTGATTGGATTCTTTTATTGGTTCCTTGGATGGTTCCTTGTCATCTTTGGAATCAGTTGGAGATTCTTGAGATATGAAACGACGGAGGGAGAATCGTGATATACTTTTTCGGCTAAATACTGAAAATCGAAATGAAATTATGAGAGATATGATAGATAGGATAAAGTCTGGCAAATTTATTTAATAACTATTAGAACTATTCTGACTTGAGATATACTTGATTAGTAAAATATAGAAGATTGGAAAGAAGCATAAATAATTTAATTTTAACTATGTATCAGCTAAATATTTACGTTCAACATAAGGAGTAAAAAAAGTCGAACAATACAAACTCTTTATAGTAATAAGTTCAGTAGAAATTAGCATTAGAAATTAGAATTCTAACTCGAAATTATTGAATTATTTACACCTAAATCTAGATATTATGAACTATATAGACTCTCGTTTTTTTAACAAGATTGAATTGAGTGAAAAATATAGATGTTTTGACATGTTTGAATTAAGTGAAAAGGCATGGACTATAGTCTTTGATTTTTTAATCAGATTGAATTGAGTGAAAAATGAAGATGCTTTGATATGTGAAAATTCATGAAGTAGTCTAGTTAGTCTTTGATTTTGTAGCAAGTGAAAAATTTAGATATTTTGACTGGTTTGAATTGAGTGAAAAACCATGGACTATAATCTTTGATTTTTTATAGATTCAAGTGAGTGAAAAATGTGGATGCCTTGACTTGTTTTGATTTGAGTGAAAAATCATTATCTAGATAATCAGGTGTACTAAAAAAGTATATTAAACTTTACCATTATCAGTTCTTTCTTCCTCGACATTTGTTTTTGGTATTTCCATTTTATCACCATATGATATACTTATTTGTACTTGGCCTTTGCTGGTATCTAGAACCTACCAAGAAATAATAAAAATTATCAATTATAATTGCTTATCTGAAAATTCACAAAGCGCCAGCAAATTAGGCTATCAGTAAAGTATTTCTGACAAAAATTCTTCTGTTATACTTGTGAAAAAAAATAGTTCCTAATACAACTCAGGATTTATAAATTTTCTGGTTGTTCTTGGCAAAAATATCTAATTTATATGATGGTATTATTTTTCATTTTTTATTGTTACATTTTTGCAAATTCAACTCGATTTTGTTACATATTTGAGGATAAAATGGAAATAGCAACTGATGGGCTGATTCTGCCGCGCACCAAACCAAAGTTATGGCAAGGCCATGTTACGCTTCAACTTCTATACATTATGCCACTGAATCATGCTGAATACTGTCAAAATGTCATGTCTTTGCAGTGCATTCAGTTTTACACATAAACTGCAACGTCACTCGTATGTTATGAATCTGCGTCAGAAAGACCCTGTTATCTAAGATCGTTTTTTTGGCATTTGTGCAGTTTCTAGGTTATGTTTTCTATCTCACAATCAGGGGAAAACGCTTGACTGCAGAGCAACCACATGGCTTTTGTCAATATTTAGAACGAATTAGTATGGAAAGTTCTTTATAACATAGCCTTGCCATAACATTTGTCTGTTATGCGGCAGAATCGGTCCATAAATTATATCTAAACTCACTGAGCATCTTCTTGGTACTGCACTTTCACTACTCAAAGATGCTTCAAAGAAACTGGTCCTGGTATTTGGTGAGGTTGGACTAATATCATCGGTTGGTGTTTTACTTAAACTTTCCCTCATGTCCTTAAAGTCCCTGATAGTCTTCCAAACTTCTCGAGATTTCACAAAGTAACCTCGTTCCAAGGAACTTTTGTCAAACACATGGGTCAAAGTGCAGGTTACAGTACCTGGAGAGATTAATTGATGGTTTATTTTTGTTACAAATAAAAGTATCTCATATCAATGAAAATATTATTGAAGTGCATATAAAAAGTTGCAGAAGAAATGAAGGCGTCCATTGGTAGAGGATCCATGGGTTGAAAATCCATATATCTGCATCTATTGATTAATTTGAAATGATTTAAAGAAATCTTGAATCTTTAGTCTTGTTTGAATTACTTTAACTTTGCTTACCTTGTTTGCTTACATATTACTATTTACTAAATTATTAAAATATTGGTTTGTTGATTTTTTTCTTATCATCTTTTTTGTTTTCTTCTTTAGATTTTTTATTGCCCAACTTTTTTCAACTAAAGTCTCACCATATCATTTATAAAAAAACTTAGTAATAGAATTCTATTAGCACATTAAAAAGTTAAGAAATCATTATAGTTAAGTTAGAAAATCAAAATAGTTTTAGTTTATATGTTAACAACGAGAGAATACATAATGGCCTTAAAAAAAAATTAAAGGTCACATCAATATAACGAGAGAATGCGGAAAGTGTGAAAATCCAAATTATTTAATTAAAAAGAATATTATAAATCTTATTCCAGATACTAAATATTTTATTTTTAATTTATTGTTAATTTATAAATACAGTCAAAATTATAGAGCTCAATAAAATATTAGGTGGAAGTCCCGTAACGCCGGACGGCACCAAGCACCGAACACTCTATTTAACACGCATTATTTAAGCGTGTATAAATCTTTTTATTTTAAAATACAAGTGAAAGGGTATGAGGGGCACACAGGTACAGGATCACGCGCCAAGTCAAGCCAATTTTTTTATTTATTTATAAATAATTTTAGGTGTCCGTCACTAGTGGACTTCCCCTTAATTATTCGAAGTTATATTAATTTCTATAGGTATGTACATAAATACATCACACAATAAGAATTTATAGCCAGAATAAATAAGACAGAAATATGAAATAAAGTGGGGTTTGTCAGTGCTAAAAACTAAGTATTTTTGGACAATTCGTAAAGAAATTATTCAAGTCTATTGCAAACATACATGTTCTTATAAGCAATATTTGTTAAAAGCGTACTTAAAAATGTTAGCATAAAAAAGTTTAAAATATGTTTAGTGGATTTTAATAAAAGCTACAGCAAAGCGTGGACGAGTATGCTAGTATATTTTGGGTATCATTTTATGATAAATTATCATTCAATATTTCGATTGACGTTTCAAAATGCTCGAACATATTTATTCCCGTAGCTACCAATTTGATATTTTTGGGACACTTGACTTGACTGATGTGTTAAGCAAATATAAATAATGAAACAAATAAATCTGAAGTACATAGATACTTATTGTTATTGATCTCATTTCATAAGCAAAGCCTATTATCGAGATAGTTATAATAAAATTTAATGTGTGATATATGCATACATACATACATACAATTATAATATATATCTATATATATATATTATATATATATATATATACCTATTTGTCAAAATATTCAGGGTCACCTGTATATATACCTATTTGTTTTCAGGGTCACCTGTAATATAGAGGGGCCCATTATATTAAAAATATTGCAGTTATTATATAAGGTTGTCAAATATCTCCCTTTGAATAAAGAGCAAAAAAGCGGAAGGGAGATATTTGACAACCTAATATTAAAACTTGAGTCTATAATATTGTTTGTAAAACATTCTTACTTATCAAAATAGCACCAAATATTTCCATAGTTTTGATCTGTGTTCTATTATATATTTGATAGTAAATTGGATTCGAAAAAATGTTATATAAAAAAAGCATGATTTACAAAATAAGACAATATTTAATACTTACTTATACGTATTTTCATTTATCATTAAATCACTCATACTGGCACAAAGAGTAATTGTCACGAAGAATCCATTTAGATCTATTGCATCATTAGCATTAAAATTTTTATTAATGTTTTCCTCTTTGCCTGCGTCATCTGACTTATTTTTCTGGCCAAATTTTTGTATAAATTTTTGGCTAAATTTTTCAAATTTTGAAGAATTATTTTTATCGATATCTTTATTTGGATCCCTCGATACACTGAATCTGAAAACTTCGTTGAAAATTGTGTCTGAGGAATTGGTTACAGGAACTGTATTCGATTCGTATTTCTTTTGGCCTGGGTAAAGCTTCACCTGGAAAATGATATTTGATATTAAAGTAATCATTTATAAATAAATATATATATATATATATATATATATATATCGTCTAATCACAATCGTAATAAAAATTATCAAAAAATTACCAAGTATCAAAAACTACATCTGAAAGTGTTGGGTTTTCTTAAGAAAAATAACCGAATTGACCATCGATAACCAAATTGAGATTATTAAAAAATGCAGATAATTTGTTTCATGTAAACCATAATCCACGAATTTGAAAACATTTCTAATTTTTTATAAAGTTTAATATAAGAACCTTTAAATAAAATAATTTTACACTTTTATTCTTATATTAAAATAATAGGTACTTTTTTAGCAACATTCCATTTATATGCACAATATCTATATAGCGTATTTTGTTATAATTATAATTTGGCGAAAATATTAGTGAATATTTAATGATATCTAACATACAGAATTTCCAAAAAAATTTCAAAAATTGCCTCACCAATATCAAAGTTTTAGTATATTGTGGGAAGAGACATTCCAAAAATAATAAAAAAAATGCAATACCGAGTAAGAAAGACTTCATCTTTAGTGTTAGGTTTTCTTGAGAAAAATAACTAAGTCGATATCCAACTTGGGATTATTAAAAAATGTAGATAATTCGTTCCATGAAAACCTTAATCCAGGAATTTGAAAACATGTTGAAAACCAATTTGAAGACGATGACTCCTTTCTTAGAAAACTAATTCAAAGGCGTTCATTTTTTGCGAGAAATTTGCTTTCTGAGAAATCTGTCTCTGAATGCGGATGCAAAAAAATTATTAGCGCAATGTATATGATTATAAAAAATATATAATTAATCTGCTGTATATAATGTGATCGAAATGTTGCGATTTTTGAAAAATAATTTTATTTTAATTCTCTGTAATTTTAGAAGTTACTCTATATAAAAACTAAGAATTTCCTTGTCTTACATCATCTTGCAAAACGGTCATTAGCAACTTTTGTATTTGAGTTTTTAATTAGATTTTCTCGTGAATAATATTTAACCATCACTTCGGTTTTATAACTTTGCTAATTGCAGAAAATCATTTAAAAGAATAATATATATATATAAATTTTTCCTGCAGAAATATAATCTCATTCTTCAGGATAAAAATCTTTTTTCAGTTGGATGTATGCCGTTCAATTTTTTTACATATTTTTTTACATCAAAATTAACTAACCCAAACCCATATATATGTTATGTATGTATATATGTATAAATGTATGATAATTTTAATTACATGAATTTTTTCGAACATAATTACATTGATGAGTGAAATTGTGAAAACGATATTTGTTTAGGTGTTGTTTAACATAATCCACTGTGTGAACGAATATTATAGAATTTATTAATCAGCAATTACTTCATTTCTCTAATGAAGGTTTAATTCTAAATGCGAATTACAATGACAAACCGATCATGTCATATTTGAAGTATGACTTTAATTACCCACAAAAGATGCAATTCGTAAAATCCTTACATAATTTTTGTATGTTAAAAATGGTTAAATATTTATCAGTATTTTACTAAATTATACCAAATAAGCATTGTACCTGTTGAGCATACAAATGAAAAATTGATGAAAAAGTACCTACTATTTTAAAAATAGTGTAAAAATCGTTTTATTTAAAAAAATTGTATAAAATTTTTGTAATTGTAATTGTATAAAAATAAATAAAAATTGGAATTAGTTTCTAGACTAAATTTTAGTCCACTGAATGTTGTTGTTATTATTATTGAATTTAATCTATCCAGTTAGAACTATATTGACAATTTACCATTATCATCTCACCTTTAAAAAGTATCCTTTAACTTGTTTAAGTCCAAACTTCGTCGGCAAATTTTTTGCCCTGGTGACAGTAACTGCCACTTCCTGGTCTCTCTGGTTAAGATCCAAGGTGAACCCGATTTCTGGTTCACTCGAAGTTTTATTAGCATTTGCATTACTCGTGGTTGATTCGATGGAATTGGTTAAATTACTTATATTTGTTGTTAGATTGCTTTTTAAATCGGTTAAATTTTTTGTTATTGATGATAGATTCATTTTTAAACCACTCGTCATATTGGTTAAGTTGTTTTGGACATTAATAAATGTTGCAACCCCACTCGAACTCATAATAGTAATAGAAAATAATTTTCAGAATTTAAATTTAATTGGAAATTTTTTGGTATATTAGGTATTGGAGGATTATATGGAGGATTTCTTAATTTTTAATAATGTTTTAGAATTTTTAGTTTTTTTTTTAATATTTTGTATCTTAACATATATGCAAGTGGTATAAATTATAGTTAAATATTTAAAAATATTATATCAAGTTACTATCAATTTTTATATATCAAATTCTAGTCAAGCATTAATCACACAACTTGAATTATTATAATATTTTACGAATTTTATGAATTTAACTTGCTTTCATAATATTTTTGTATATTTTTGCATAAGCATTAATATTTTTGAAAAACGTATCAGTTATTTTTATTGCAAATTTCTAAACACATTAAAAGTAACGTGCACTAATTAAAAAAAATAGATTATGAGTAACTTTATATCCAACAGTAATAAATAAACATAAAATTTAATAGTATTTTTCTTGACAACTTTCTTAAAAAATTAAATAAAATCATAAGTAATTTTATATCAAGCAATAATCAATAAACATAAAAATTTATATTTTTTTTAACTTGATGATTTAATATTTTTCTATATTTTTTTAACGAAATTAAATTGTTATGAGTACTTAGAACGTTACTTCAATTTTTTAATAAGAAAGTTTCTTTATTGATTAATTGGCGCATTCTAATCACTTGTAATTATAATAAATCAGTATTTAAAACTTTTTTTAAATTAAATTTTAATTTTTTTAATTTATTTAATATATTAAAAGATATTGCTAAACATATAACATATATGGATTAAATAATTTTTATAAAATAAATAATATTATCTTGAAGGTATTAGTTATATCACATGTTGAACTACTTTGATCCACAAAAATTTGGCACACTTCGAAGCACTTTGTTTTATAAACTTAAATTAAATATTATAAATATTTATACGCTGCATATATTTGTTTAAAAATATTTTAAACAATTATTTTTAAATTATTTCTTATCCCTATAATTTTTATTCCATCACATGTTTATCCTTTATATGAAAGAAGCGGATTTGGAACCGGCTCCAGTTTCGATTGGTTTCACCACTTATATTATATCACAATGCATTAATTTGTGTTATTTGAACATTTGAATTATTCACTTGTTTGCTCCATCTGCAATAAGAAATAATTTTATAATATGACACCAATTTAGAGATATGAAAATTGATACATATTTATATATAAAGAGAGCAGTATATATATAAATAGACATGTATATATATATATATATATATATATATATATATATATATATATATGTATATATAAATATATATGTATGTATGTATGTATGTAAGTTTATACATGTGTAAAACAATACTGGAACGTGATCTAATTATTTCATTTAGCACTTTTGAAATTTCACATGACTCAACTAAGCCATGATTACACTTCTTCTAATACATATATTTCTGTATATGTATATATATATATATATATATATAACACTTATCTATACTACTTTTATTTTATTTGATAATATATTTTGCTGATACGATGTCAAACACTTCATATTCAGAAAATGTTACTGAAAACAATTTGCTGTAACGGTAAAAATGAAACTTAATTGATATACAAGTGTATATCATACCTATTATATCACTTTCTCACTAAAACTTTATCAAAACTTTTGATATATAGTTAAAATTTTAATTTAATAAATTCAAATACTGAGCATAAATCTTTATAGATATTATAAGTAATTTGCGCTTGAAATATTAAAAATACTATGGCAAAATATTATATATGAATCAATATAATCAAAGTAAAAATGAAACTTTTTAAATTAACTAAAATCACTATCTTACTAGAAACTTCATCAAAACTTTTGAAATATTGTTAAACTTTCTCGCTAAAAACTTTATCACAATTTTTGAGATATAGCTAAAATTTTATTTTGATAAATTCAAATATTAAGCACAGATCTTTATGCATATTATAAGTGATTTGCACTAATTATAATAAAATATTTTTAAATAATAAGACAAGATTACTCAATAATAGCTGTAAAACTATAATCAAAGTGAAAATGAAACTTTTTCTAACTAACTAAATAACTTACTCTACATGAATGCAATATCTAATATATCACAAAGGACTTCATTGAAACTTTTGAAATAAATGCAAAATTTTAAAACTTTTTCACCAAAAAATTTTGAAGCTTTTTAAACTAACTAAAAAAACTGACTCTACACGAATGCAAAATTAAAATTAAATTAAATTAAAATTGAAATATTTGCAGAATTTTAAAATTATCTCACGAAATACAGTTAATAATTAATTAATTTAATTTTTAATAAATTCAAACTTTAAACACAAGTCTTTAAACTATAATCAAAATAAAAATGAAACTCTCTTTGAAAAAACTTTTAAAATATTTGTAAAATTTTAAAACTTTTTCACTAAAAACTTCATCAATTTTTTGGAAATACTGTTAATCTTTAATTAATTTAATTTTTAAAAAATTCAAACTTTAAACTATAACCAAAGTAAAAATAAAACCTTTTAAATTAACTCTACAAGAATGCCATCTTTATTATACCACTATCTCACTAAAAACTGTATTAAAACTTTGAAATATTTATAATATTTTAAAACTTTCTTACTGAAAACTTTATCAAATCTTTTGAAATGCTGTTAAAATTTAATTAAATTAAGTTTTAATAAATTAAAACTTCAAACACCAATATTTAAACTCTAATCAAAGTAAAAATGAAACTTTTTAAATTAACTGAAAAATAACCCTACATGAATGCCATATCTATTATATCACTATCTCACTACAAACTTTAAATTTTGTTTAAACTTTAAGTTTTATTAAAATCTTTGAAATATTTGTAAAGTTATAAAACTTTATCACTAAAAACTTGAATAATTTTTTGAAATAGTGTTAATATTTAATTGATATAAATTTTAATAAATTCAAACTTTAAACACAAATGTTTAAACTACAATCATAGTAAAAAACATGACAACTTTTGAAATATTTATAAAAATTTAAATTTTCACTCTAAAACTTAATCAAATCTTTTGAAATACTGTTAATAATAAATTAAGTTAAAAATAAATAAAACTATAAATAAAGCATTAAATTTAAAACTTTGTTATATGAATGTCATCTCCATTATATCACTTACTCACTGAAAACATCTTCAAAATTGTTGAAATATATTTAAAATTTTACTTTAATAAATTCAAATATTCAGCACAAATCTATACGCATTTTAAAAGTAATGCACTAATTAAAAGTAAGTGTACTAATTATAATAAAACATTTTAAAATAACGTTACAAGTTATTTCATATTAATAAAGAATTAATTTAAAACTATAATTGAAGTAAAAATAGAACTTAATAGATATATAAATGCCAACATAATTATTTCACTTTCTCACTGAAAACTTCACCAAAATTTTTGGAATATTAGAAAACTTCTCTTTTAATAAATCCGAACACTTCGCATCTTATATAAATATTTTGATATGTAAATATTAAATTTTTATATAACTGATCTATATATACATACATATATATATATATATATATATATATATATATATATATATATCCAATGCGTACCTATATGAAGCAATTGACAAACTAAAATGAACAAAGCCGAAACACTTAATATATATTACAATCTTCGAGATTATGTGCTCACACATTTTGTCTACCTATATGTGAATGAATTATATAGATATATGAATATCTACTTGTATAAATAAGTCGAAAAATATACATACTACCAAATATAAAAGTACATTTTTAAGTATGGATACTGAACATTGACAGGATTGTGTCCGAAACGTATAATAACAATACAATATTGTAGAATTAAAGCATTTCAATAAAAAAAATGTGCAGAAATATTATTAATATTATTTTACATACCACTGCATAATAAAGAAAATATAATAATAAGCCGGTCCCTAAAATTATAATTTCTTATTTCAAATTTCTCATACTACCTTTTGGTATTGTGATGTGCATAGAATTTCTAATATCAAATTGATTGAAAATTGCACTAAATGTTAATTATTTCTGAGATATTTGGACATTTTTTTAAATAATTATATTGAATTAGTTAAAAATTTTCAAATGTAAATGTACAAACATCAAAAAGTCTAAGTAAGCCACAATCTTCTCTTAAAATTAAAGTAAAACGTCCTTATATGTTACAAGTAAGTACCTGCATGAGATGGTTTTTTGATTTGCTAATATTGTTCACTAAATGTTCATTAATCCTTAAAAAGCTTTTTGGATATACCAAAATCTACTTGTATAAACAAATAAATGAATATTTTTATATGTTTATATTTACGTCTGCACTTGTATACATAAATTCTGAAATAGCCTGGTTTGGTTTGTAATTCATATCACTTAGTATAAATTTAAATCATTTTGATTTATTTTAAAATGAGCAAATCAGATTTTTTGCGAAAACAGAAACATTTTCTTCTGGAATTAATTAAGTTTCTTTGATAGTGATTTTTAAAAATATTGCACTTTTTTGAGATTTGCTCCATCAAGCACTTCAACAACACAAAATACTTCGAATTTTCATTCCCAAAATTATGAAAAAAATTCCAAAACGCATAAATAGTCTTATGCATTCCTCCGTTTTTTAAGTTATAATATAAGTACATAATCATTCTAATATAAGTACATACTAATCTCTTTTTTGCATTTTTTTTTTGAATTTTGTATGAACAGCAATCAAAACTGAAGGGACCAATAAGCTCTTGTGATAACTCCATTGAACTACGTCGCTTTTTCAGAAGGCAACCCAGCGGTTGGCCTATTTGAAGAAATTATTGTTATAGTTTTTGTAATATTTTACTAAAGCAGACTATTTTCACTTGGAAACATAACTAATTGAAAACCGGTATTGAACCTGGAACTTCTGATTGGACTACCATAACTCTAACCACTGGTCTACGGGGGGGGATCCTTTTGCA